AAACAACTCAAGAATTTCCTAAAAAGGAAATTTTCAAGCGCCTAGGGGGGAGTGGGAAAGAGTTTTTTTTTTTTTTGGAAAGAGTTTTTTTTTTTTTTGATAGATGATTAATTGTAATAATATTATTGTTATAATAATAGTATAGTAGTTTGTATTTGAGTATTTGGTAATAATTAGGAGAAAAGTAAAAAAAAGACTTTATTAGATATATTATACTAGTTAATTCATTTAACTGAAATAGGATACTATTTTTAAAAATGATCGGACTATTGTCAAAGCAGATAATAATATTATTGATATATTACTTAGATTATATATTGTTATTGTAGTTGTTAATATTTTTGTTAATATATTAATTGATTTATTTTTTTGTAATGTGATCTTGTTTTAATTGATATTACTAAAATAGAATTTGTTTACATTAATCAATATATAGTATTTTGGTTATATAAAATGAATTTGAAATTTTGTTATATTTGATTGATTGAGTTTGGAATATTGATCAGTTAACAGAAATAAACTAATTACAATTATTTGGTAAAATATTTTTTGAGTGAAAATTTTTGATTTTTAATGATACAATAGAATGTGTTAAGCAATAGTGAGAAATATATATTAAATATATTGTTGATTCTTCAAGTTAATAATATAAACAATTTTGATATAAAGTTTGATTTTTTGGATTAACAAATAATCTTCCAAGCAAAAAATATAATTATTTAGAAAGGTTTGTATATTAGAAAGAAGAAAAAATAAAAAAAGCTTCAAGAAAAATTTGTAAAAAAGTAATTGCTATAGGTCTTTTTTCATGCAATCCAAAGAAAAAATAAGACTTCCAAATTTGTTTTCCTCTGGCCAAAGATCCTATCCCAATGCATCAATATACTTTTTTAATTTCTTTAAGGCTCTTGTCGTAAAGAAAAAAAAAGTATAAAGGACTTTTGAGTATTAAAAGGTAAAAAAAATATTTGTTTCTTTAATTTTGGAAAAAAATTACTATAAAAAATTTTTTTAAGCAATAAGTTATATACAGAAAAGGATTGTTTTACTTTGTTATTTAATTTTAAAAATTTTTTAAAGCCTTTTAAAATTTGATTTTAATATAAAATTTAAAAAATATACAATATGTAAAATTTTAATTAAATTATGTATTAAATAAATCAAAAATTTTTTAATAGTAAAATTATAAAAATTTATTTATTAAAAATATATTTTTATTTAACAAATTTATCTATTGAAATAAATTTAATAGTTTTTTATTAATAATTTTTTCAAATGAATTTAAATTTTTTTAAAAAAATTTATTAAATAAACTTATTCTTTATGTTTTCAAATATATATATATAAATTCTTATAATATTTTATTTATTAATTATTAAATTATAAATAAAATTAAAAATATAATTATTTTGATTTTTCTGTAATAATAAACTGCAAGCAATAATCTTTAGAATTAAACTTCATAAGCAGATAAATTATAAAGAGAGCAACCTTCTTCATCTCCAAAATCACACCTAAAGACATTAGTCAAAAACAGGTGTTCAAGGCAATAGAATAATTTATGCAATATAATGTATCATACATTATTTGTTTTCTGTAAAGATTCAATAAACAGTACACACTTGTTTGACTACAGGAAAAAAAATTTTATTTCGATTTTTTTTGGATAAAATTCAGATACGTAAACGTGTAAGTTACGGTTTTAATTAAAACCGATTCGAACCGATTTGAACCGAACCGACCAGACCAAAAAACCGTGTAACCATCATTAAATCCCCTGTATTATAAACGTGCAGGGGATGTGTGTGCTTATAATCCAGAATTCTATTCGAAGTTGAACTGTACTCAAAATGAATGTTGAGAAACTTTTTAAGATTCCCTCGAGTTCCATTCCAAGCGGCAAAAACAAGAGAAAACTTGCTGCAAACCCAAATATTGAAGTTTTAAAAGCTGTTCGTGAGAAAACTGAAGAAAGAGAAGCCGAATTTGAGCCGAGTGAAAGTAGTTATTCTCCAAAGGGAAAAACCGTTCGTATTTCTGATGAGGTGGAAGAAAGAGAGTACATTGAATATGAAGAGTATAGAGAAGAAGATAGAGAAGAGGAAGGACGGTTTTATGGTGGAGGTCTTACCGATGAACAAAAAAAAATTCTAGATTTGATGGATCGGGTTGAAGACGAAGAGGTTGGGTTTCTAAAATTTACGCGTTTTATGCTTAATTGTACGCGACTCTTTTTATTTTATTGTACTCAATGAATGTTGTCTTGTTATGATTCTATTTAAAATTCCAAGCCAGAAGTTTTAAATTCTGCGGCTATCCGTAAAATGTTTCTTAAATTTGAAAAAGCAATAATCAAGAATCAAGAACTTCGTGTCAAATACTCTGATGATCCGTCAAAGTAAGTATTATTAAATATTGTTGCTTTTGGTGTATTGTTTTTTTTTTTAAAAAAAATAATCATGATACGTTCGTTTGTAGATTTATGGAATCAGAAGCAGACCTAGATGAAGAGATAAAACACTTGTTAACGCTTGCCGAGGTACCAGACCTTTACCCAGAGATAGTTCAACTAGGCATAGTCACACATCTCGTTTCACTTTTAAGTCACGAAAACACGGATATTACCATAGATGTTATAGAGTTACTAAATGAATTGACAGATGAGGATGTAGTGGCAGAACATAATGAGGATGCTATGAAAATTTTTATCGACGCATTGGTAATTTTAATTTGAGTCATGTACTATTACATGAAAGCATACATATCTAATTATGTAACATAATGTATTTTTTAGCTGGAAAATCAAGTATTAGAGCTATTGGTTCAAAATATCTCTAGACTGGATGAAGAAGAACCCAATGACAAACAAGGAATATTCAATACACTCGGTTTGTACACAGAACAAAATTTGTGGTCATTAATTTCGGTAATTAACTGATTATTAACGATGGCCAATTTATTTGATTATTATTAGGAATAATTGAAAATCTCGCATCGTTCGACCCTTCATTATCAGAACGGCTTATAAAAGATACTAATATATTGGAGTGGATGCTTGGGCGAATCAAGGTTAAGGCATTTGATTCGAACAAGCAATATTGTAGTGAAATTTTGTCGATTCTATTACAAAACAGCAGAGGTTTGTAGACATTTGTGTATGCCAAACATTTCATTCGTCAATGCCATACAATATTACCAACATTTTATTTCTATATTACAGTCAACCGGTTAAAATTGGGAGAGTTAGGTGGCATCGATGTATTATTACAAGTTCTTAATGTAATGTAGCATTATAATTTTTTTATCGTGCTCCTTAATCAAAAATTTTTACTGAAAACAAATCTTGGGGGTAATTATTTACATATATCATAGGCCTATAAACGCAGAAATCCTAAGGATGCAGATGAAACAGAGATGATGGAAAATCTTTTTGATGCACTATGCTTGGCATTGACCGAACCCGAGATCAAGAAAAAATTCCTGGAAGGCGAAGGTGTAGAGCTAATGCTTATAATGATGAAGTAGGCTTTTACTGAATTATAAATTTCCTCCTTCGATCATTGTGACGACGATATATAAAAGATTGAAATGAAGAATATAAAATTAAATTTTAATAGAGAAAAAATGATGTCGCGAATGCGTTCCATAAAAGTATTGGATCATGCATTGTCGACTCCAGATGGCACAAGTTGTTGTGAACGATTCGTAGAGATATTTGGACTAAAAACATTGTTCTCAGCATTTATGCGTAAGGTGGTTAATTCTCGCAGTAAACAACAGTTTTTATAGCAGAATTTATTTGTTCTAAAATTTATTTTTATTAGGGCTTGAAAAAGCTCAAGAAAACTTATAAAAATTTTTCCGAGGCAGAGGAAGAAGGTATGAATTATAATTATGATTACAACACAAATGTCTTAAAACGACAGCCTTATTTATCCGTTAATAATTACACGCCAATATGTAATTTGTAGAACATATTATTGGTATAATAGTGTCATTATTAAAAAACCTCCCAAATGAAAGTGAACATCGGTTGCGATTAGTTGGCAAATTTATTGAAAGTGATTATGAAAAGGTGGACAGGTTATTAGAAATGAGAGAAGGCTATGAGTCTAGAGTGTCGGCTGTGGATATGGAAATCGAGAAAGAAAAAGAGGTTGGATCGCCAAATACTTTATTCTTCCAACCTACGTTATTTTCTTTTTACTGATATGTTACGTTCATTGAATATAGGCGTTAGAAGATGACGGTGAGACAATAGACGAACAAATTACTGAAGAGTTTTATTTAAGAAGGTTAGATGCAGGTCTATTTACTTTGCAACTGGTCGATCTAACAATTGCATGGGTTTGCTACGAGGACCCGAAGGTCAGGTTTTTTTTTATTTTATTAATGGGAATAATATGAAAGAGATAATAATAGCTAGGTTAACTAAAAATTGATAACTTTTATCTTTGCAATTATATTTATCTAATTTGATGACTTGCTAAATGCAATTATATCATTTTTTTGTTCTCCGGATTAACAGATTAAAGAGCATGTAGAAATCCTTTTGAATCGCACAGGTCGAAGCTTAGCTAATATAAAAGCCGTTTTAGAAGGTATGTATTATTCCTTGCACACAATCATCCTTTTTATGACGGTAATGTACAATTTGATGATTTGATTATAATTTATTCTTCAAGAGTATCATAATTACATGGGCGATGGAGGTCAGGATGAGGTTGAAAATCCTGTAAAAACCGATGATTCGATGGAAATAGATAACGAAAAATCTGTTACAACGACGATAACTTCCAAGGAAAGAGCTCGAAGAGAAAAAGAAATTGTCGAAATGTTGTTAGGCATTTTATAGTTCGACACTACCTGGCAGGTTTATTTCAGAATCTTGTGAAAATTTAAAATACTATTATCCTGTTTGAAAAGCGAATCAATAATCTATGTAACTAGTTTTATGAAACTTTTATACTTTGGCGTTCTGCAATAATTATTATTTTGTTTTTAACGCGCCAGGGAGTCCACAAAATATTCAGATCTTATTATTAACCAAAATTATTTGATAACAATAAAATTGGGATACTGGTTTAATTTAATTTATCATATTCATGTTTCATTTTAAAAATTTGTTCACAACGTGATTGTTTAATAGCTTCAAAGTTATAAATTTTACACACAATGATCAAGCTTAATAATAATTAGAAAAATTGCGATTAATATCTCAGATTTACATTAGAATTTTTAATTGAACCGTGACTTACGTTTAATTACCGTAAGTCAGACTTAGTTTACATATTAAAGGAAGCAAACCGTTTTTTTTTTATCATTACTCCAAGATCTTTAGTAATTTTCCGTTGACAAAAATTTTTTATTTAGTAATTTTTTAACAGATGCAGATGAGAGTATGAAAGAGTTTTTTTTTAGCCTATAATCAATATTAATTAATAATAAAACAAAATATATTGTAACAGGGTGTTCAAAGTAGCCAATTTAATAAAGATTAATTTATTTTTTGTATTTATTTACTTGCATATTATCAAATAATAAAGAAAAGGGCACAAAGAATCAAAAATATACAATTGTATATTGATCAAAAGTTCAAGAGCATTCTAAAATATTAGAAGAAATTAATTGATATATAATTAAAATTTGAAATGGTTTCTTTACAATATTTTTAATAATTTGTTTTTTTTTTAAGGTGAAAAGATGATCCATGCCTGGTTTTTATTGAATTTGACTTCAACTATCATACATATAAACAGTTTATACTAGCTAATATTATTACTAACTAGTCAATGCACCTATATAATTCAACTATATGAATCTTACACTTATATATAAAACCCACATATCAGATAGTATTATTTAGAGAATAGAAATCCTGCTATCAATTTTAACCATTTAATTTGTTAATTCAATTTTGTCAAAAGGTGTTTATTTTGCAAATATTGTTTGTAAAACAATTAGATATGCCAATACTTTTCATTCTAAACTATTAAAAAATAATATACTTGAGTAAATAGTCAATAAGCAATATTAATTCTAGTTACATAGAAGACATAAATAGTATACAAATAGTACAAAATGACTTTGTATTTAGAAGACACTTGATGTATAGCTTAGATACTAAGTATCAATAAAAGATATACATCGTTGCATAATTTGCCTCTTAAAAAAAATAAAAACAATAATAATATACTTGAGTAGTTCAAAATTAGAAGGTTTTTTGTTTGCATATTAGTTTTAATAAATCTGTTTATTATATTATAACTTTGGCTTATATAATTACTAAATAAAAAGAAAATCATAATAAAAATATATACTTTTTAATAAATACTTTAAAAGTATTATTTTTTAGTTAATATTAGTTATTAAATTTAAGAATCATAATTAATCAAGTGAGATACAACTTCAAAATTTCTTAGTAAATATTTCAAAAACACCTAATTAACTTAAATTTTCAAATATAGAAATATAAATATTAAACAAAATATAATTCCAACATATTAAAAATTATTAAAAAATTTTTCTATTAATTTATATATTAGTGTTTATATTATATAATCTTTTTAAAAATGATCTACAGTGGTGATAAAAAAAAATGGTACTGATATTTTTTATTATAATTTAATAAATAATAATTTAATTGAGATAAAACTTTAAATATATATATTTTATAACCTAATTAATAAAATATTAATGTTTTATTAAATATAAAAAATAATTTTTGTATTATTAAAAAAAAACTCTTTTTGCAAACCACAAAAAATTTTAAAAATTTTCTTTTTTGGCAACTCAAGAAAAACCAAAGGAAATATCCAAAGGAAATATCAGGAAAAACCATCCTTTGGAAAGAAACACTTTGCAACCACCTCCCAAACAAGAAGAAGACACCAGAACAGGTATACACCAAAACTTTACAAACTAACTTCTTTTCTTTTCTTTTTTAGCACACAAACAGAAATATACTTGGGATTTCTCACTAGAAAAGAGGAAAAAACAAACAATACAATTTACAGTTAAATCCAGAGAGAAAGTCAGCATCGCACTTTACAAGCTACTGGCCAATTGTGCACCAGGTTAGATACCTCCCTAGACATCAGAAGGACCCTGCTTAGCCAGATTACACCCGGTAAACCAGGCAACCTCGTCACTAAAGCAAGGGCCAGAAGGATACCAAGACTTTCTCTTATTATGACTAAGGAAAGAAAACATTATCCAATCCAAAACAACAATATAAACAACAACTGTTACGTGACTCAAATACTTAGGAGTAGGAAAAACCAGAAACAGTTTAACCCCTCCAAAAGATTAACAGTTACACGAACGCGTAGCAGCAACATATCAATATCAACCAGACACGTCCAAACGTGTTCACACATGCTCCAAAGCTGTGACAACAAAACAACAGCAAGAAACAAATACACATTAACACGTCAATATAATACTACCACAATACTACAAACACATAGACACATGTCAAACAGTATAAACAACAAAACACGTAGCAAACTTGCCAATACAACAAGCACTTACATAGCAACACATCGAAATAATCAACAAACACGTACCAATTATCAACACTACAGCATACAGCAGCACAACACACCCATGCGCCGACGTGACATTTGCAAGCTACACGACAAACACACAACAGAAACACGCGTAAATATCTAACAACACAGCAACAATAGGACATACCTTTACAAATAGACATACAGTTTGTAAATAAATACACAAATACCCTACACATCAAACACTCTGAAACAAGATGTCTTATAGCACAAATACATATGAAGACTCTATCCAACTAGATGTAGAAACAATACAGAAACAAGATAAGATCATAGATCACCTACTTACACTTAAGGATGATCATCACGCTGACAATAAGTTATGGTTCCACAAGATGATCCACAACTGTTTTCACAAAATTGAGACTGAAGAAATTGACCTGGGAATTTTATTCAACACTACTCTGTTGGATACTATCACAGCAAAAATAATGAATATCGATTCCAGACAAATTGTCAAAGCAGATATCATTCGCAGATATGCAAAAGATCTCTGGAGGGAAAACAAAATGTGCATGTCCATACTTGATGAACACATCATCAAAGACCCATCGGACAGACTTATCATCTCCACAATCCTTAGGCCAAGTGAACACAACCCTCAAGATAACCACCCAGAATCCACAACATCCACAGACAACACTCACTTTACATATCAAGAATAACCCTCAAACCAATAAGACCATCAGGCTTCAGCAAACCAGGACACAGGTCACGTGGCACAGACATCCCCTTGCCCAATCAAGATGGAAATCTTAAACTCTGAACAGGAAGAGCCAGCTACATCAGAAATAATCATATCAAACACAGAAGAGATACAAGAAGCAATCACTTTAAACATTACAAGCCTGCAAGACCAGGAGATGCTTCTAAACACACCACTTGATATTCGGAAAAGCATGAACTACCAAACAAGAAACAGAACTACACAACCAATTAATCCATATTTCATCGCAAAAAAAGGAGCATATACAGCAGGCATTTTGGTAGCAAACACACCAGG